TTATTTCTTAAGGAAAAATTGCTAAAAAGGACTTGATCGGAAATTCAATTGCTTAGAAGGCTTTGGGATTGTTTTTGAAATGAGGTCCTTCACTGTCATTAATTCCTCAAGGTTGAATGACATAAATGTCCTAAATGATTAAAAAAAAGGAAAATTTGAGCAAGGTCCTTTGCTATTAATAATTTTGGTGTCAATATGTCAAATAAGGTCCTTTGACGTTAATATGTCAAATAAGGTTCTTCAGTGTCAATATGTCTACACCCAATGGGTGCCCATAGAAGTTGCTTGCATATAATAGAAGAGTTTTGTATATGACAAAAGAAACATTACATATTTTGGAAGAAATCTACATCTATCAGAGAATGTTGAATATGATGGAATAAATTTGCATTTGCAAAGTGTTGCATATGACAAAAGAAATATTGCATATCATGGAAGAAATCTATAGCTATGGGAGAATGTTGCATATGTGGGAGAGTGTCACATGTGAGGAAAGAAATGTTGCATATTATGAAAAAAGTCTACATCTGCAAGAGAATGTTGCATATGATAGAAAAGTGTTGTATATGCGAGAGAATGTTGCATGTGAAAGAAGAAACATTACATATTGTGAAAGAAATTTGCATCTATAAAAGAGTCTTGCATATGACAAGGGAATGTTGCATACAATGAAGGAAACATTACATATCATGAAAGAAATCTACATTTGCAGGAGAATATTGCATATGATGGGAGAGTGTTCCATATGCTGGAGAGTGTTGCATGTCATGGGAGAAATGTTGCATATAGTGAAAGAAATCTACATCTATGGAAAAGTGTTGCATGTGATAGGAGAGTGTTGCATATAATGAAAGAGTTTTGCATATGATGAAATAGTTTTGCAGTTAGCTAAAAGGTCTTTACATATGAATTGTAAATGTTTTATGCATTCGTCATATCATTTTTCATGATATGTTTTATGCATATTCAAATAAGAGTATTTTTTTTCATGAATACCATTTGCAATATCTTGAAAAATAAGGTTGCTGATTTTAGCATAGCTTCTATTTGATAAATTTTCAAGATATATTCATGAATATTTTTTTTAAAAAAAGTACTTGTTATGAATGGATATTCTTCACTTTTCATGATAATGATTTAAGATATTCTAAAATTTACTTATTTTTTATGAAAATGTAAATGGATATTTTAAAAATTTTCTCACTTTCTTGAAAACACTTATGGATATTTTGAAAATACAAATGAGAATGTTGAAAACTTTTAAATCTTTCAAAAAAATACCAATGGTAATGATTGTTATATGTAAAGTTTAACTACACCCATATAAAGTATCAAGAAAAATAATTGAACACTAACAAATTTATTTATTATTAAACTATAACAAGTTTTGATATCACTTGAAAACATAACCACATTATAACAAGATAATATATGACAATTACATTACAATAAGATAATACAAAAAGTGATGTAGTGTTCATTCTTGAGCCTTCATATTTCTCTCCAACTAGTCATTCATTTGCTTTAATTAGATGATCTCTTCAATGGCATCCCTTGCAACTTAGTGAAGACTAGTGAACATAATGTTCTCTTTGTACATCTCATAAATCACTAGGTAACAGATTATGTCTAATAAAAGTTCTCTTTTATATCTTTTTGACACCAACTACAATATATTTCTAGAAAATGGATACATAAATACAAGAATCCTAATCTATATTCTAGTTGCCTGGATTTGTAATTGAGCACGAAAGCAATTAATTTGAAGGCCAAGTGTAAGTCATATTTGCTCAATAGCAAGAGAAGACAGGAGGGAGTAGAATAGAATGCATGCATTCCCAATTGTCAACTTTACTAATATATCTCTTTGTCTTTTTTCATCTTATTGTTGTTGCCTACAACTTGATTAGGAGATGAAGCATTACTACTTGGGTATGCAAATTCAGCCACAAATTCATTTGCAACCTAGTAGAATAAACTACAATTTTTAGATACATTAAATTATAGGAAACAATGTGGAGATTTTTCAAGGGACTTGAGTATTTGCCCTTAATAAGACTAGAATAACTAACTTATAGTTCCATTTACTATATTACAATTGATAGAATTAAGACAGAGCAAATCTTATTAAGAGTAAACAAAGTGGAGATTAGCAATTTGTCCAAGAAAGAAAATACAATATTTGAGTAAAACATCATATTTGAACTTTAAAAACATGCTGATAAAGGGACAAAATCAATCACATATATCTTTTGGGAATGATTATGAAAAATAAATATGCTTTCTTATTCACAAATCCACAATCAAGAATATCATCAGCTGTATAGCTTTCAAAAATAAAATCAGCTATGAGCAAAGTTATTGAGTTGGCCTGGCATGAAGTCAATTCAATGATGGCAAAATCTACAATCATGAGATTTACTTCTCCTTACCAAAGCATCTCCTATATTTTGAAGCTCTGAGATCCATCCCTTGTCATTATTATGTCTTCCCTCCAAAACTAATATTCAGTTTAAAAAAATTAAAATAATAAACATTAAAAATAAATTTAATTAATTGAATTTACCATATCATTGTAGTAAATGACGAATCACTTTGATCCACTAGGCACTAGTATGGTGAATCATCTATTTGGCAGTTGGTATTCCTAGCCTTCTTGAAGACTTCCTATTATATAAAAAAATATATTGAAATTTAAATTAAAAATTAATAAAATATTAATTTACATTTAAATAAAACAATATATGTTAATAAACAAAATTAATTACCTGCTGAGCAGGAATATAGCACCACTTAACAAAATTATCCCAATAATTGGGATTCACTTCAAGAGGGCTATTCGCCACTATCTCCTCCATTGATTTCATCCCATCCTCATTATATTTCTAGTATATTTCCAAAATAGGCTGTTTCTACCGTTCTTCCACCCGTTCCATCTTAGAAAGTGAGTACGACTTTTGGTTGTCCATCACTACAAATTTTTTCTACATAAATAATGACAAACAATTAATATAATTATAATAAATAAATATAATATTTAGTAAATTAAATAAACAAAAGAATAAAAAATAAAATTAACTAAATATAATATAATTATAATTAATTAAATATAATTAATAATTAGATATTATTCATAAACATAGATATAAATAAATTATTAAAATAATTAATTAAAATTAAATAAATAAATACCTTTATAATTTGTTCCTAAGTCTTCTCCTTAGCTTGTCGCCTAACCCTCCTCTAAATGGGTAGATTAATAAGAAAAACATTGTATTTTTTCTCAAGTCACATTTGGAAAACATTGTAGAGTTGACATGACTGACAGACTGGCTAGCTAGTTGCGTTTCATCTTATCAGCATGCGATGATCTTTAGGTAAGGTCTATAGGTCTCGCTCTTGCTCTTGCAATATCCTCTCATAGGTATTGCCATTAGGCTCTAAAAATATTTAAATTTAATAATTACTTTTAAGAATAAATTAAATTAAATAACTACATAAATTTAAATAATAAAATCTAAATAATTGATTACCTTGCATTATAAGCCTGTAGCCCTTCCTCTGCATGCTAGTCTGGCTATTGGTCCCCTAGGACTCAAATATCTCATGGTCTAAAAATTCCTCAATCATCTGGATTGGGACTTTAAGGAAACCCCTGTCCCTCAAGTTTTCAACTTCTGAATCACCCTTAACACCTTCCTATTGCGGTTGCTCCTCTAGGTCGTTGCTGTTGAATATGTTATCTAAGTTGAACATTAGTAGGAGGAGGGAAAGCATCTTGGGAAACATTTTGAACTAGTGAGTGCAATAGATTTTTATAAAGCACGGGTAAGAGAAAATTTTGCCAAAAGTAAAAAAATAAGGAGGGTGAAAGTTTATATAAACGTGACAATAGTAGTAGTTCTCACCAAAACCACTATTATTTAGTATTAACATGAGCCCTAATGTCTAGGTAAGACTGTCTTTAATGTGTTTCCAAAATGGTAGCAACTTAATACTAAATTGCTATGCAAACCACTATAAAGTTGACTATTTGTTACTTGAGATAGGTTAGTAGTGGTTTAAGTCAAAATTACCAAAAGATTTGTAGGTTTCACCATCCAAATCGCTATCAACTTTTCATGCCATTCGACACCTTCCTTAGTAGTGGTTTTGCAGAACCACTACAATCTTTGTAGTGATTTATAGGAGGTAAACTGCTACTGTAATTACTATTATATCTTTCACTAAAATGCGAAGGTTAAATTGTTACAATATTATAGTGGTTTGGGTTAAAATTGATATAATAGTCAGATTTCATAATGGTTTATATAAATTGTTACTATGTAATTGCTACTAAATAATCTTTTATTAATAGTTAGAGATAGTCTTGAAAATAACTACTCTTGCTTAGTTAGTACATTTTGGTTATCTAGTATTGAAAATTAATTTTCTTACAATACTAATGTCCTTATAAATAATTACCCAAATTTAAGGTCTTGTTAAACAAATATTTGTTTCATTTCGCTTTGAGGAGTAATTTTCCCAAAAGCATATAAAGGCACCTCATAGCCATGCCCAATTAAATAAGTCACATCACATCACATCAGCACTTATTGGCACTATTAAAGAGTCACCTCCCTTATGCCTTTCACAATTATGAATTACACTAAATGCCCTTTCCACACTCCCAAACAAAATCTTACCTCCTCATTAGGGGGAAAGAGATTCACTCTCACTAAGATTCCTTTCTTTGTCTTCAATTGTAGTGCCAATATATATTATTAATATCTTACTGGTACACCATGACTAGTGACAACAAGCAAGCATGCTTAAAAACTGAAATTTGCAGCTAGCAGATAAAAACGTTCCTTTATTAGCCTCCCTTCCTCCTTTTATTCGATTTGCATTATTTCTTAAGGTGAGGAAGGGAGAGAGAATTGAAAGGGAATAGGCACTGAAGGTGGAAAGGGAATTTCATGTAGTAGAGGAATAAGAATTAAAGGTGGAAATTAATGATGATGGCTTGTGGGAAGGTGGTGAGAGATCAATGGTGCTATAGTTTGGAGGAGCTGGTGGAGATGGACAGGAATGGAGAACACAATAAGAGAGATGAGTGGGTTAGGAATCCTCCAGACCTTCCGAGTCCTTGGCTTCAATTGTGGAACATAGCTAAGCACACTTGTGTGCCTTCTCGTGCCAATCACAAGTCTCTCTTCAAACATCTTCTCTCCCTGGTTTACCACTTCTTTCCCATTTTGGACTCTCTCAGACACTATAATGCCTCCAAGTTTAAGAACGACTTATTAGCTGGTCTTACTCTTGCTAGCCTCACCATTCCCCAGGTATGTACCTTTACTTTTAACTCATTTTTCTTTGGAATGGAATCCCATTAGAGAATTGTTAAGTTCAACTGAAATAATTTCTTTTAAAAACATTTTATGCATTATTCACATCCAACTTCTTGACTCACTTCTTCTATATATTCTATTGATCTCATTTTTAGGACTACCTGGCGGGTTAGATTGGGGCAAAAATCATCAACTCTTTTTTTAGATCTTGAGTTAGTTACTGTTTTATTAGTTATTATTTTGGGAGAATCCCACTTAGGGCCCTGATAACACAACAATTTTTATTTAGGCTCCAATATAGTTTGAAAAATCTTTGCAAGCTCAAAAGCTTTAAGTAAAAGTATATTTTAATGAAAAAAAGATACATTTATCCTTAGACATTTTGTTGTCAATTATAGGACATTAGGTTGAAAATTTATGGATATTATGTTGTGCATTCATGGACATTTTGTTGTTCTTTCATCTTGCAAAACTTGTACATTTGAAACTAGGCAATTTTCACTTTTGTCCCTTGGGCCAATTGTACATTACAAGATATTGTGTTGATATTTTATGAATATTGTCTTGTACATTCATGAAAAGAGAGAGGGCAATTTTTATGCTTTGAAGGCTCTAAGTGAGATTCTCCCTATTATTTAAGTAGGATTAAAAAGTTGTTATAAAAAAATAGAATGAAAAAGTATCATTATTATATTATTTAGTGATGTGATCATTAATTTTTTTTCCAAACAATTATTTTTCTTTTTCAAAATTTTATATGCTTTAAAAAACATGTTTCCCATACATAAAGCGCACAGGTTGAGGCTAATTATTAATATTATAAAATCCAAATCTGGTCAAATGTTTCATATATATTGTTTGAAATTTAATTTGCATCTATATAATATATATATATATATATATAGCTGTCAATTTTAGTGTCATTTTCGCTTCCAAATGTACGTTACTTGATTTATATCTAATCACTTGATTTTGATTGCTTTACTTGCAAGTCCACTTTACTCTATGATTCATATATTTCAAGTTTATTTATACTTGATTTTAGCTAGCTATATTAAAAGAGAGAATAAATTCTTCAATAATAGGGAGTAAATTGAAATTTGTTCGAATAACAACAAATGGATAACAAACTATTGGTAAGAGTTGGGTCTAGTAGAATGAGTTTGTTTCTCACTACCTAATTGAAGATGTAACGTCATTTAGTATAATCTAACCTAGAATATGATTACCTCCAATAAGATGGCAATTGTGCACAACAAGAAAAAATTGATAACTATTATGTTGTCTAAGTATAAGTGAATATAAAACAATGTTAAACATCCCACATTTGACAAAGTTGAATTTAGTAAATAATATAAAATAAAGAAAGGACTAATAAATTTGAGTCTTAGGGTTTTGAGTTAAGATAAGGTATTTTTCCACTCATAAATTTAGATAAATAATTTATAGTTTATTGAGGGATTATTGTCAGCATTTGAGTTTTCTATAAAATGACAAAAGAGCTATGAAAATTTGTCTACAATTTTATTTTTAATCATTGAAAATATTGACATATTTAATAATTAATAGAGTTTTTTTGGTGCGATCGAGTGCATCTTAATAGTGTTTAAATGTGATAAAATTACCAAATTATATATATATATATATATTATATATATATATATATATAAATATATATATATATATATATATAATAGTCATCCTGATGATAACATTGATTGCATTATACAAAATTCAAAAAATGAGCATATTATTATTATTCAACACTTGTGAATAGCTTAACTTGCTTAAAAAGGGTATATTTTTTTGTCAGAAAAAAATGCATATTTTATATTAATTGATATGTTGATATCAATGATACTTATATTAATCAACATGCAGAGTATGGGATATGCAACTATGGCAGAGCTTAATCCTAAATATGGACTGTGTAAGTTGAATGATCACCTTCTAAGTTGTTTTAGCAGAGCCCAGAGGCATATTGTTTTGCATTAATTAAGCTTTAAAATATTTCTCATTTCCATTTTTTTTTTGGTGAGAAATCATCTAAATGGTGCAGTATGATTAATTATTTCAGATACAAGCATTATCCCACCGATCATATTTTCTTTACTCACAAGCTCAAGGGAAATAGTGATCGGTCCTGTATCTGTGGATTCAGTGCTTCTTTCCACAATGATTAGAAAATTGAAAGATCCTCATCAAGATTCTGCTGCTTACACCCGACTCGTCTTCACTGCAACTTTCTTTACTGGCATCTTTCAGGTTTCCTTTGGACTCTTCAGGTCACTGTTTAAATTGAAGCTAGTACGTTGTTTGAATCCTGTTGAGCTCATATTAATTATATGACAAGAAAGCTCAACATTTTGCAGGTTAGGGTTTCTGGTTGATTATTTTTCCCATGCAACGATTGTGGGGTTCTTGGCTGGAGCTGCTGTTATCATTGGCTTACAGCAAATGAAAGGACTACTTGGCATCAAGAACTTCACAAACAAAACTGATGTAATTTCTGTCACGAAAGCTGTTTGGACATCTGTGCGTGACCAAGTAAGATTAGAAAAGGGCGTGGTGTGTCTGTATATAGGAATCAAAGTTTATCTTATAAATTAATAATGGTTTTCTAATTCTCTGGTCTTTTTCAGTCGAAGTGGAATTATTCTAGTTTAATTCTTGGGAGCTCATTTCTGGCTTTCATTCTGATCACCAGATTTCTGGTGAGTAAATAGTGTTTCTGAAAGGTCATGAAAGTTAATTATTTGGTTGTCTGACGTGTGAATAAACTTAAGAAGATGTTGAAAGTCTTATATCATATGAAGTTAAGCTTAATTACCAATACAAAATAGAGAGAAATAACCCATAAATTTAAACCCTAATATTTTGAGTTAAGATATGGTATCCTCTCATTATTCTTGCAGATGTGTTCTCTTTCTCTGTTTCGAACAAGTACTGGTATTTAATTTATGTGATTCTCATTTTCTCTCTAATATTATCAGGGAAGAAGGCACAAGAAAATCTTCTGGCTGTCCACATTCGCTCCTCTACTCTCAGTCATTGTGTCGTGTCTGATTGTATTCAGAATTAATGCTGATCATCAAGATAAAGTAGAGGTCCTGGGAAAAATCGATGGAAGTAGCTTCAACCCTAGTTCATTATACCAGTTAAACTTTGATTCCAAGCTCATTGCAAGTTTGGTCAAGATTGGCTTTATTGTTGCCATAATTTCACTAACGGTGGGGCCCTCCACTTGATTAATTTAATTCACTTCATCAATTCTAATAACACTTATAAATTACTTGATATGGTCTTTCTGATTTCTGCTGTGGTTCATGCATGCGACATTTCTATTTTTAAAGGAAGCTATTGCAGTTGGTCGATCTTTTGCAGCCTTAAGAGGATACAATCTTGATCCCAACAAAGAAATGGTATCATTAGGCCTAATCAACATTGTTGGATCTTTCACTTCTTGCTATGTTGCCACGGGTAATCAATTACTTCTTCAATGCAATTAATATTCATTACATTATTATCAACATCAATGAAGAAGAGTGAAAAACTGTACAGGTTCATTTTCACGTACTGCTGTGAACTATAGTTGTGGCGCGGAAACAATGGTTTCGAACATAGTGATGGCTCTCACAGTGATGTTTTCACTGAAACATTTGAAAATGTGGCTGCGTTCAACTCCAACAGCAGTGCTAGCTTCAATGATTCTTTCAGCTTTACCAGGAATCATTGACGTCAAGAAAGCTATGCACATATGGAAGGTTGATAAGATCGATTTCTTGGCTTGTGCTGCAGCCTTTTTCGGCATCGTGTTTTTCTCTGTCGAAATTGGTCTTCTCACTGCGGTAATTTTCTCGCTTTTTATTACCCTAAATAATATGGAAAATCTAGCTTTCTTAGATTGTATTCTAGTGATGATGTTCTAGGTTTGCCGATTGATCACATTGATTTGATCCCACCATTTAGATGTGCATATACTAAACTGCATGTGTGCTGTGCAAAAGAGTTTGAAAAATGAGTATCATTATATTAATTTAGCAAGTGGAATAGCTTATTTCTAGAAAAATGTAACTTTTGGTCCTTTACTTATTTTTTTCAATTATTGATTTAGTTCCTAAATTTTAATTTGATTGGGAGCAATTCAATTCTTATGATTTATTAACTTGAATCAGGTTAGTCCTTTTAGTTTTTTTTTTTGAATCAATACAACTCAATTTTCATAGGTTGTTAACTCAATAAATTAGAAGGATTGAATTGTATCGAGTTAAAATTCAAAGGTTAAAGTTAGGAATTTAAAGTTGTATTATCTCTTCACTTTTTTAATCCAAGTTTTAAGATCTTGAACACCTCTTTATCATGGATTGGGCCTCCTATGACTCTACTTTACACTAGATCTTCTAAAAGAGCTTGGGAGATTTTTATAGTCCAATTCATTGGGCTTCTTAATTGAAAATTTTTATACAAAACTTTTAGTCCAAAATATGAATTCAACCTTGAAAATAAACACATGAATAATCTAACTTTGAACTGAATGCGAAAGATAAGAAATATTGGCATTACAAATATCCTAAAATATAGTACCAAAACATAAATAAATGAGACTTGTTATTGTCATTTAACATATATACGGCATTTCAAAGAGGGGCCATCTGTTTTCTTATGAAGAGGAGAAATAAGGGAACTACTAGATTAATTATACATAATGCAGGTTATCATATCATTTGCAAAAATAATCCTAATATCCATTCAACCTGGGATAGCAATTGTTGGAAGGCTTCCAGGAACTGATGAGTTTTGTGATGCTGAACAATATCCAATGGCGGTCAAGATTCCAGGAGTGTTAATAGTTCGTGTCAAATCTGCTTGTCTTTGTTTTGCAAATTCTAATCTTGTTAAGGAAAGGTACGTCTCTACCTTTCTACCTTGCTCTCCCCAATTTGGTTAGTTTCTTTCGTGCTCGGATATTTTCCTAAAGATTCTAAGACGACAACACTTTTGTCTGTCGTGTTAAAGGATTGTGAGACGAATAATTAATGATGGTGGTGTGGAAGATCCCACGGCACAAAGCACCTTCAAATATGTTGTCCTTGACATGTCAAGTAAGCACCATTGAATACATACCCCAGCTCTTTAATTTGTTTTTTGTTTTTTTGTTGTTGCATAATGCATTTGATATAGAGTAAAGAATAAGAGCCAAGTTTAAAGGTTCGATTTAGATAAAGGTTCAGGCTTAAAAAAATGATGGTTTTTGAAAAAATTGGGCTTTTAGGCCCAACCCTAGTAAGTCCTAAAAAAGGGGCTCGAGCTTGAACAACCCTCCAAACTCTATTCCCTAAAATATCGATGACTTTTTAAGTATAACATTGTTAAAGTAATTGATGTTGGTTCTTTTGCCATTTATTTCAAGTATATTTTTTTATTAATTTCTTAAATATAGTTATTTTGTAAGGTCTATTTCTTGGTTTTGATTAATGTTGTACCCTATGATACATAACTTTTTTATTTATTAGATTTGATAAGGTTAATTTGAATTGAAAATTTTTATCTTCATTTTAAAACTTGATTAAGATTCTATATTTATATTTGTATTTATTTATTTTATTAAATTTTTTATTTTTAAATTTTTTTAAAAATAAAATGGGATTACGTGCCCAGCCTTGAGCCTTCTAATGAGATTTGGGTTTTAGAAATTGATCATTTTTTGAGAAATCAAGCTCAAGGATCTAAGCCCATAAGGGTTGGGTCCGTCTATTTTTTTACCTCTAATTTGATATTTCACACCACCCCTCGTCAAATTGAGAGGACTTTAATATGGTCAAATTAATCTAAATTGAGCTGGTTTAGTACCCTTTTGAGTGAAAGCTTTATCACTATTGCTGCTATGCATGTATTCCAAGAGCTTGAACTCAAAACTTCTAGTTAAGGTGGTACAATCCCCCATTTTTTTTAATTTTTTTTTAGAACGCAGGCGTAGTGCCTGAAGAGGCATGAGATCAAACACAAAACCTAGTGCTACAAAGTCACAACTTGGTACCACTAGATCAAAGGGTTTTTGGTAGCTTGTACAACTCCTTGCTAGTTGAATCAAATGTTTGGTGGTTAAACATGTCCGAGCTCTTTAATTAGCGTCTTTTTACGTATTCTCTAAACAAAATTGAAATCTTTTTTTTTTTTTAATTTTTAACCACAATCATAGGTCTGATGAATATTGACACAGCGGGGATTGCTTCACTGGAGGAGCTACATATCAGTCTGGCTTCCAATGGGCTGCGGGTAAGCCTCTTGTATTTCCTTTCGATCACTTTTGTCTTGAAGATTATTAATTAATATATATACACTTATGAATCTCCCTTGGTTTAATTCTCTTATTACTTTCTCAGTTGGCCATAGCCAATCCTAGGTGGCAAGTGATTCACAAGCTGAGAATAGCCAAGTTTGTGAGCAAAATTGGAGAAAGGGTTTTTCTGTCTGTAGGAGAGGCTGTTGAAGCATGTCTTACCGCCAAAATGGCTCCCATGTATCCATGATAAATCACATTTCATTATTGCTGATTAAGATCAATAGGAAAAGATGATAAGACTCATCAATCTCATGATATTGAGTCACTTGCTTGGGATTAACCAATGTCTTTCAATTACAATTTTTCTTCGGGAGGACTAAACGTGCCTTCCTCTACATCCAGCTGTAAAAACAAATAATTATAAGCATGTTCCAGTACTTACTGAGATACGTTGTATCAGCGTACTCAATCGCTGCTTACTGCTAAATCCAGCAGTAATCTGCGACATCCTCTATTGTATAGTCGGTTCCAGTACCACTATATACAGGGTTTTGGTGATTTATGATGTCATTTATTGTGTGTGCCTCTTTCTCTTTCCTACACTTTGGTATAGTATTTGGATAGGATCGATATATGAGGTCTGTACAGTGGGATCCTGTGAAATGCGTCAAGATTCAATAAATGAGAGACATATATATGGCGCTGGTTTGCGGTGCTCGATCTCACAGACACTTGTTTATTTAGTGGACCACTGAAAAAGATGTTTCATGGTTAGCTCATTCATGATTGCTTCGTTGTTAATGGGTTGACTCAATAAGGCTTCTATTATTATGGTTCTTTGTTTTATTAACATGAAAAAAAAAAAAAAGAAGACTGAATACTGCATCTGTCACCAAAGAATTGGATGCCACTCTCACAGACTCACACTACTATACTGTGCTTACTACAAAGATTCCAATCCTATGGAGGGGAATCTCTTCAAAGAAGTTGTTGGTTGAATTTCATTGAATTATGTACACGTATATATAAAGAAATTTAAAAAAAATGATTATAAATTTTTTTCAAATTATATAAAAAAACAATCCGATCCATCAAAATGCTATAATTTCACTAAAATTTTTAAGAATCTCTTTCAATAAATTTTAAATTAAAAAGATCATTTTACTCTTATTAACAAGTTGTGATTTCTTATTTAATTCTTGTAATTTTTTAAATAAAAGTTGTATTTCTTTAAATGAAAGTTGTAAATGGGTTTTGTTATTTTGAGAACTTATTTTTCAATAATAAAAATTACACTTGATAAATTGTGATTTCTTATTCAACTTTTGCGATTCACAGAATAAAAGTTGTTATTCTTTAAATAAAAATTATAATTGGGGCTTACTTTTTAATTATATAAATTACATTTGATAAGTTATAATTTATTGTTCAACTTTTGTGATTTATAAAATTAAAATTATGATTTTTTTAAACAAAAGTTGTGATTACGATTTGTTATTTTCAATAAAGGTATAATTATTTTTTTACTTTAAAATTTACTGACATAGAGGTCCATAGGGACTTCATGAGAATTATGACATTTTAAAAGATTAAATTATTATTTATATAATTTGAAATAATTTTATTATCATTTTTTCAAGTTTAGGCCCCTCTTCTTATTTTATCCTTAAAAAATATTTTATTTTTTATTTTTAAGTTAAATTTATACTTTAAAATATATGTTTATATTTTTCAATTAGAATTTATATTATTTATTTTTAATTCTTGAATATTATAATTTTTTTTAAAATATGTAATATTATAATGTAAAAATTATTTTTTTAAATGATAGAAATTGAAAAAAAAACTTATGGAAAGCCTAGCTCGAAAAATTTATGATAACTTGACTTTTACGCCTCAACTTACTTGGGCCAGGCTCATAAGCGCTTACCGTTTATCACCTTTAGAAGTTACAACTTGGCCATTTTGTAAATATTATAACTGATGGCTTCCTTTTTGTTAAATTTCTACTCATAAATCATTTTAATTCAGGGCAGGCTTTTCCTCTAACACATTCAAATTGCATATTAAAACTGGGACAGCCTTTTGAAGTGCGAGCATATGCTTCCGTCATTGTCTAAAATTATCAGATCAGAGCTCTCTAATTAATCACCGTCGAATATAATTATTGGTGTGCCTATTACAAGTAGTTTCCTACTAAATGTTTGATGTGATTATCACATATAGTTACTGTTGTCTAATCAAACTTGATTTTGAAACCACAGTTAATCCAATAATTCTCTTTGTCATTGTGAATTGATTGGAATTTAAATTTGGATCAAATCTCTCATTTGAATAAATGTTTGATCTGATTATCACATATAGTTACTGTTGTCTAATCAAACTTGATTTTGAAGCCACAGTTAATCCAATAATTCTCTTGGTCATTGTGAATTGATTGGAATTTAAATTTAGATCAAATCTCTCATTTGAATAAACAAAATTTAAGGGCCAAATCCATCTATTATTACATTTCCTTGTAATTTCAAAATTTTCATATATCATAATCATTTAAAATTTCAATCACTTCAAACATTCTTTTTTTTTTGTTTTATTATTGATGTCTCTGATTCTTATTTTTTTTTTTCATCTCTTAAACTTATTATTTCTGATTTTTAACTTTTGTTTAAAATCTCAACTAATTTCTTTTCTTCATAGAAGGAAGAGGAGAGAATTTTGCCCATTTTTCATTTGAATTATTTTTATAAACTACTCAAATAAAAAATTTTAAATATATACATTTTAAACGTGATAGTTAAACTACAAGATTTTAAATTTAAAATTCAAACCAAATCTACCAATTCATAAGCTAATTTATATAACATCAACTTCTTCAATTTCTCTCTATTGGTAAATAGTGAGCTTTTCATTTTTAATTTTTTTTTCTTTTTTCCTTATTCCATAATTTCTATGACATATTATATCCACATGCCCCCTCAATTGAGGCTTTGTTTTCCCCCCTCCCCCTACCTTTTCAAACTTTTACTCAGATATTTCACAAATTCAGGTTACTTAAAGTTAATCACATTGATTCTAGCACTGTCTACACAAAGTTGGGGAATATTAGATTCAGACCTAAGTCACCTTCACAACAGCTACCGAAGAAAATCCATCTTGAAAAACCTGGAGGTTTTGAATGAACAATATATATTGATTAATTATTAGCATGACGCATATGAATACTATAGCTTATAATTTTCTTTTTTTCAATTTGAAGAAGTTGATAGTCAATTAATGTTCTATAATTTTTTTTTATCAACATGATATATCATACTTTTGAAAGTGGTATTGTGCGTTTATATGATTGTTGAATAGTGGGGTTTTTACGAGACACCATAGTTACACAGATTACATAATTAAAAAAGAAGAAGAAGAAGTATCAAAATTTTAAATGAATTTTCACACCCTTCTTCGTTTTCACATTTTTGTTATGCTTGCTTCACATGAGGAAATTGGAGGGAAAGAAAATAGGACGAGAGAAAATGAAGAAAAGAAAAAAGTAAAAATATATAATTTTCTCTCATTATGTTTGGTTGAGCAAAAGCAGATTGGCATCTCTTTATTTCTTCTTCACTTTTCATTTCAACCATTGAATTCATTTTTGAGTGGTTGTAGTTTAATGTTTTATAAAATTATTATTAAAATATAAAATTTTATAAAAAATAATTAATTAATTTTATGAAACATTAATCTCAACCATTCAAAAATGAATTTAATAATTGAGATGGAAAGTAGAAAGGAAATGAAGTGATGAAAAAAATGAAGAGAAGCCAAGTCTAAGCGAGAAAAAAAAGGGAAGAGAGAAAAGTTATTAATTTTATATGGACAGTAATACCCTTATTATATACTCTCTCTGTTAAAAAATATAAAACATTTTTAACTAAATCTCACCCCTAATAAAGTAGTTACCTACTTTCAAACTAACTTTATCTTTTTATATTTAACTCTATTAAACATTCTATAATAAATATAAAGTTATTATCAATAGAAACACTTTTGAAAAACAGACAATGATCACAACTCGAAAGACTAAAAATGTCTTACATTTTTTAACATCTAAGTTATCAAAAAAATACCTTACATTTTTTAACGGAGGGAATATATAATAACAATAATATTTTCTATCATATATTTTGAACAAAAACATAATTAAAAGTATTTTATCCAATACTGACAAAAATTATTTCATCCAAATTAAAATTTTATTAATAAATTATTAAATATATAAAATAATCTTAAATTTGAAACTATAAGCAAATATAACGTACTTAACTGAAAATTAACTTGAAAATTTAGAAATAGCATTTATCTAATTCATCTAAAAATTAAATATATTATTTGTTCACAAAGGTTAATGATCAAAATTTAACCATATTACAAATAGCATGATAAAAATGGTGGGAAGCTAGAGCCGGTAATAAAAAAAGTGGTGGGTAAATTTAAAAATAAAATTTTCTCATATTTGAAGAGAAAAATTGGAGATAAAATCATGTAGGAGTCACATGTTATTTTCTTCTCACTTTTTTCTTCCTCTGCTTTTCTCTTGGCAGTAAGGGAAAATGTTGTATTCCCTCACTTTTTTTTACCTCACTTTTCTCTCCTGTCAAACATAGGATTACAGTTACAGTACTATTAATTGAACAACAGGAGCAAAAGTCTTTGCAGAGACACTGGTACATATAGTTGTTAAATTATTTTCTCATAGCGCTTGCAAGAGAAAGAAAAGTTGTAATAACACCAGGTAATACTCTGGAAAACACACATGTGCTCCTCAATATATCCTCATCCTTTTCGTCTGTTAATAATTTGACTTGTTTATTTTCTAAAAAGGGAAACACATAAAGGTGCGTTTGGGTCTATTTAAGATGCCTCAAAATCGTGGGGATCTTCAACTTCAAAAGATCACAGAGAGCTTGAGAAAAAATAGGCTTCGTGAGAGTATAGTGAGGCCTCTGTTCTGTGACGAGACCGAGTTCTCCCAAACACTTCAAGCATGGCTACTTCGGCTGAGAGGTCCGAGTGGGTGCTCAATACTCCTGAACCTCCCTCTCTCTGGAGTCACTTTTCTGATTCCCTTACCAAAACTTTTACTCAGTGTCGCCAAAAGCTTTCCTCTCTCACTGACCAGCCTGGACCCAAGCCTCTTCTTTCGCTCTTGCAGGCACTTTTCCCTATTCTTCATTGGGGCCGTCACTATACTCTCACTAAATTCAGAAGCGACTTGCTCGCTGGTCTCACTATTGCCAGTCTCTGCATTCCCCAGGTGAATTATCTATCTCTATAATTTCCTTTTAATCAGCTTGCAAGTCATCATTTGCACTCAGTTTTTGTATTGTATTATGATGTATTATCTGCAGAGCATTGGGTATGCGACCTTGGCACACCTCGATCCTCAATATGGCCTCTGTAAGTGGCATGAGCTGATCTACTTTAAGTACTGAGAAGCTTGTTGTTTGGATTGATTAATTTGTATGGCTCGTGTTCAGATACAAGTGTCGTGCCTCCACTGATTTATGCTGTAATGGGAAGTTCAAGAGACATAGCAGTTGGACCAGTGGCTGTGGTTTCACTTCTTTTATCTTCCATGGTTCAGAAGCTTATAGATCCTGCTTCTGATTCCCTTGGTTACACCAAGCTTGTTTTGACTACCACGCTCTTTGCTGGCATCTTTCAAGCTGCCTTTGGCCTCTTAAGGTCTTTTCCTTTGGTTTCACTTCTGTTATATATATATGTATATGTATATATATTTCTAGATATAGATACACTTAATTATTATCCAATATTGAATTAACAGGTTGGGGTTCCTTGTGGATTTTCTGTCCCACGCTGTTATTGTTGGATTCATGGCGGGAGCCGCCATTGTTATTGGTCTTCAACAGTTGAAGGGACTGTTGGGTATCACTCATTTCACCACCAAGACTGACATCATCTCTGTCCTCAAAGCTGTCTGGAGATCATTCCAAAATCCTGTAAACTATTTAATTTATTCACTTTTCAACTGATGATTCGTTTTTCAAAATAGTTAATCTTGAGTTTATGATGTTATCAAGCATAATAATTACTGAATGCTGGACTTTGTTCAAACACACAGTGGAATCCTCGTAATTTCTACCTGGGATCCTCGTTCTTGATCTTCATTCTATCGACCAGATTTGTGGTGAGTGCATTTCTTAATCATGATGTACCTCACCAGGTTGGTCACATCTTTTTCTTATTTTCTCACGAATTAAAGTCCTATTTCCGGCAGGCTAAAAGGAAGAAGAAACTGTTCTGGCTTGCGGCAATCTCACCTCTCGTGTCAGTGATAGTCTCAACTCTGATTGTTTTCGTGACAAGAGCTGACAAGAACGGTGTTAATATTGTGAAACACGTTAAAGGAGGATTGAATCCAAGCTCCATCAATCAGCTAGACTTCAAAAGCCCCTTCATCGCTCAAGTAGCCAAAACTGGACTCGTTGTTGCTCTCGTTGCCCTCACTGTTAGTGCCCTCTTCAAATTCTAATTATCTTTTCTTCCACCTTAATTAATTATTCGTGTAATTAAATTAATTGGTTTCATATATATATATATATATATAGGAATCTGTTGCTGTTGGTCGATCTTTTGCGTCCTTGAAAGGATACCGTCTTGACGGAAACAAGGAAATGCTGTCTATAGGTCTCACCAACATCATCGGATCTTTTACTTCTTGCTATGTTGCAACTGGTAACTTCTCTTTGGTTTAAAAGTAGCACTGGCGTGCGCATTCGCACTTGCATGTAATTAGTAACACACATACATGTGATGAAGCAGGTTCGTTCTCTCGGACGGCGGTGAATTACGCGGCGGGATGTGAAACGTTGGTGTCGAACATTGTGATGGGGATTACAGTGTTGATATCGCTGCAATTCTTGACGAAGCTCTTGTATTACACGCCAACTGCGATCCTTGCTTCCATTATTCTCTCTGCTCTTCCAGGACTCATTGATATCTCCGAAGCTTACAAAATCTGGAAGGTTGACAAGCTTGACTCTGTCGCCTCCTCTTTTGCCTTCTTTGGCGTGCTTTTCTCTTCTGTTGAGATCGCTCTCCTCTTAGCGGTACGTATATAATGTCATTAATTTCCCACTTCTTTCATCACTATCCATCTACTTCCTTCTTTTTTCTTTTTGTTTCTTTTTCCTTGTTAAGAGTGGGAAGAAGAACAAAAATAATGAAAGAACATACACCACATTTTAACTGAAAATTTTAAGGTTTTCAAGTTCATGGATTATTTGTCTTTATTATATATTAGTTATAAACTTAACTTTATCCGATGTGAAATTTTTCATATCGACTCAAGTTCATTCACACTTGAACAACTTAAAAACTAATCAATATACTACCGAGGGCTCACATCAATTGGTGATGAGAAGCTATTCTCACCTAACTAGTGGTATTGAGGTTAAGTCTTAGAAAAATAGGAGCGTCAAAACTGTAGTAGAGTATGCCGTTCAGAAGAATACTTTAATGCCCGATTTGAATTAACCTTTCATTTATTAAGCCCACTCAGCATTACTAAATTTTTATATAAAATATGTTTAAGGGTTATCTATTTTATCAAAATAGCTTTTAATCTCAAGAAGTCTCAAGTCTCTAACTTTTTAATTAGTTTTAAAGTATACTTAAACATTGACTATTTCATTAAAATAACCTAGTCACTTGGTTAGACACATATCTAATTTTTAATTATTAGATGTAAGACGTTTTTTCTCTATTAAACTCGACATGGGGGAGGTCCAAGCATACAGGACGCACAAGCAATAAAAAAAAAACAAAAAAAGAGTGACTGGAATCTTTTGTGTAGATGTTCGGCTGGACACAAATTTAAGCATATATGCCCCAGCACTTTATTGAATATAATGCACTATGGGTGATGCAGGATGGATGGAAATCTGAATTGAAGCTCCAATATCTAGGGAATCATTATTATTTACCCCAAACAAACAGTGTGCTAGTCAACTCTCTATTCGAAATGGTGTTTCTAATTACTAGGATCTAATAACGGTCGCGTGATTAACAGCAGTTAATTTGTTTCAAAGTGGATTAATGAATTGCAGTTTGGCGGGTTAAGGGAGCTAACTAGGGATTATTGAAGGTGTTAATTAATAAACATGTGGTGCAGGTGGTAATATCGTTTTTGAAGATCATATGGATTTCAATCAGACCTGGAACAGAAACTCTGGGAAATCTTCCAGGAACTGATTTGTTCTGCGATGTGCATCAGTATCCTATGGCTGTCAAGCCTCCTGGCACTCTAATCGTACGTCTCAAGTCTTCCTTGCTTTGCTTTGCAAATGCCACTTTCGTCAGGGAAAGGTATATATATAACATTTGTCACTTTCAATTACACCCCACGATTCTTTGAAAAATATTATCAGATAACTATCAAAAATCTAATATGAGCATTCTGCCAAATATATATATATATATATATATCTTATATGAGCAGTAAACTCACTTTTCAAATTTTTGCTTGAAAAAGGATCATCAAATGGGTTGCTCGGGAAGAATTGGAGGACGATAAAGGAAATACCACAAGTACCATTCGGCTCGTGATTGTCGACATCTCCAGTAAGTTAGTACATTCTTACGTATATCAATTTTTAAATGTGCTGGCAATACTGTCACTGAAAATATTTACATCTTCTGGTGGTTTCCTAACATTTACGGTAGATTTGGTGAACATTGATACATCTGGAATTGCTTGTCTGGAGGAACTCCATCAAAGTTTGGTGTCACAGGGGAAGGAGGTAACAGATTTTATATTATATTGTTCATCTATCTCTATCGATCGCTTTCTGCTACATAATATATATATATATATATATATATAACATATATATACACATGCTGACCTATACATGGTGGATGCGTCATCAGTTAGCAATTGCGAGCCCTACATGGGAAGTGATCCACAAGCTAAAGGCGGCCAACTTTGTGAGCAAAATTGGTGGAAGGGTGTTCTTGACTGTTGGCGAAGCTATTGGATGCAAATCCGACTTTTAACTAGTTCTTATTATGTATGTGTCAAGTCTTTTTTGACTTCTTATTTTTGTGTGTTTCAAGGCCTTGTTTGACTTCTTATGTATGTCTGTTTCAATGCTTGTTTGGCTCATTGTGCTTTGTCTTTAATTTGTATTTGTGGGTGGTGACATATCTATCAGAATAAGTTATTCTGTCCTTGCCAAAAATGAGCTAAGTTTCTACCTTTGTCTAATTAAAAAGCTGCAGCTTGCAATATATAATGTTCATGATTAAACTACCATTTTGTTTTGAACTTCTTCTTGGGCATTAAATTTAGGTAGCGTTTGAATTGAAGTATTTGCATTTTAGATTTAAAAACTTGCATTTTAAATCCCACATTTAAAATTCTTTTATTTAAAATCTTTTGTTTGGGTGGTTTAAAAATTTTAAATGAAAAAAAAGATGAATTGAGATTTAAAATGAAAATAAAAAATTAACAATGATTAATTTATTTTTATTTTTTAATTAACGAGATAAAAATATAAGAGTTGTAGAGGTATCAATAGTAAAAATATGAAAAGAACAAAATATTTGAATTGATTAGAATTTCAAATGACTAGGATTTAGATAGAATTTAAAATTTAAAATTAAAATTTGAAATAGATTTAAATTCAAATCAAATCTATAACACCATCAATTTGATAGACAAAAAAAAATATCTTCTTTTAAATAAAACTTGCTAATTAAGTTTACAAACAATGGGATCGCAATAAAACAACCAAAGCTTTCAAACCTACAAACTATTTTCACAATTAATCCCAAAATCAAATAGATGGAAAAATAGGTATTCCTTAGCTATGGCAATAAGCAAAGTAAACTATTAACATGTACAGTTCAAAACAATTGATCTATCACTCAACTTTTTGGTGCCTTCCTTTATGCTTTATCAAAACTCTCACATGAACATTATAAAAAGTAACATATGAGATCTCTAACGTCTCAATAACAAACGAATATTCTAACCTAACACATACATTGAAACTCTCACATGAACATTGCAAGAAATAACATATGAGATCTCTAACATCTTAATAACAAATGAATATTCTAACATACACACACGCGCACACGCACACACACATTTTCACATGTTCACAAACATGTTTTCACAATAAATAATGAAGTTTATTTATTAAGACAATCAAACAATTTATGCAAACCCTTATAGCCTACCTTATCCACTTTTATAGTTGGCTAAAGCTTGAATTGACAATACACTTAATCAAAAGTATATTCCCTTTAGAACTAAACTCCTCTCCTTCAAAGAAAGTGCCTAATGTCTCACAATGTCTGACCAAGGAAATAGCCCCTAACAAGGGACTATCCATCATGCATCGAGTGGAAGTGTACTGTGTGGCATTAATCAAGTTATAGTTTCCTATCACATCCGCCATAGATTATAACACTTACCCTTGTACTCCCTACAAGTACATTGCACATCCACAAGATTTCAAAACACATAAATATGCTTGGAAAGAGCAACAGTAAGAAATCATATTTTTTGCATCATTTTATTCCTTTTATTCTTGGTTTTTGAAGCTTGTTTTGGATATTTTGAGCATTTTGATAATCATTTAGATTTATTGAACTTAATTTGTAATTTTAAAATTGTTTGGAATAAACGGGTAAACAATGATAATTTTTGAAAAATTAATTTGACACGTAAAATCAATTTGGGCTGTATATAATTGGGTATTTGGATGATATTTTTTTTTATTACAAGATACAAATAGAAAATAAAGAGAAACCCATGGGTAAGCTTATCTTCCTAACTTTTCATTTTATTTTTTTCTAATTTCTATTTCCCACTAGCATTATCATATATCATGCATACATATAATTTATTCTTATTTTAATTTATTAATTTTATCCTTTATTAGTTTTATTTTTTCAGCATTTAAATAAATTTTTATAAATATTTTATCATACTCACATATATCTTTAGACACACATACACTCACCACCACTTTAGGGCAATTTTTTGTCACTTATCAGCTTTATCAAACATGTTCTCAGACTCTTTTTGTCTCACTGTACAATTTCCGAAGGATCCACTTTTGTTTTTTTAATTGATTGTTTTTCTCCCTTTTTTCCGTTGGTCTTGGCACAACAATGTCATCTTCTTCATTTCGGAAAAACGCTCGCGCTCTCTCACTTCTTTCTTAGCAATCTCTCTCCTCCATATCTCCACATTTAACCATTCAATCTCAGATGACTTCATCATTGTCTTTCTCACTTAGTTCGCACCAAAACCTTGTGAATTTTGCTCTAGTTTGCTGAAGATTTTGCCGTTTGAATTTCTCATTACAGGGCTGCCATGAGGTGTTCTTCAAGCTATTTGATGGAGTTTTGAAGTTCAAATTCACGTGCACCCAAGCTTCTTGTTTCTTTTGGAGATGGACACACATATGGAATCCACTTTATAGCACTAGGTTGTTTATTATTACTAATTGGGCACTAGTAATAATAAGTAATTTGATATTCAATTTAGAGAATTCTAGATACTGTAAACCCAATTAATTGAAGAAAAATCAAAATTAAAATTAAGATCAACGATTAGATAGTTAAGTTATTTAATGAAACTTCATATCATTGATTTTATTTGCATATGTTTACACTATATCTTACTCCATTCATTCCAATTTAAATAATTAAAAGAAAAAAAATACTGATAGCTTGTATTCAGGTTTTTTTTAGATAGCTTGAACAAACCTTTTTCACAAGCATGCTAGAAAGGTTTAACCATATATTCCAGTTTAGAACCAAGCAACCAAACAAGCCCTCAATGGGCACAGTCATTCCCAGTACAATTCATACATAGATATATAATAACAAAAACCAACAACTTGCTAATACACGAAAGAATAAATCATTGTTACATTTTTTTCAAGTTAAAATTGCGCGTTCCGAAATGTTCTCAACATCACTAACTCAAATACAGGTCTACAAAAATTAATGATAATAAATTTAATTTAATTTATTCATAAGTTTCAATAATCTAATAATAATTATCAGCATTCCCCTTTTAATCTCTAAACTATTTTATCCTTTAAATTAAATTAATTTATATAAATTTTTTCCTCCTTTTTACCTCTATAATTTAATAATAATTTTATCATACTTAGATTTTTCTAAAAAACTCAAATTCTACCTCTAAAGTTTATCCTTCAATTTTGCAGTTTCATATCTTCATCTGTAATCCTTATATTCAATCTATATATAAATAGATCTAACCTTTGGAAAAAAATTTTAGCCTATTGGATCATAAATAGATTAATATTAGTTCATCTTAAGTATATCAGGACATTAAAAACTACCCTACAGTCCTCAAAATCAATGATTTGAGCAACGTTAATTTTGATAAGTTCTCAATCTAACATATTTAGCTCTTTTAACAATCCAACAGTCAACTGGAATACCTACAAATTTTAAAATCTATCTAACTTTAAATTTCTTTTTCCTATCAGAACCCAACAATATGAAAAAGAAAAATGAGAAAAAAATGCTATATCACTTATCTAATTATTTTTTTAAACCTCTCAAAGTATATTATATGAATTTTTGGGACTCCACAACACTCAAATGAACATGAAAATTAGGACTTATTTATTTTCTATTTTTAAAAACTTTTTATTTATTAAAATTAAAAAAATTTGTTTGAATAAATGTTTTTCATTTAGTTGTTTTTAAAACATTTTTCATTTTTTATTTAAAAAAATAAAAAAAAATTTAAGTTGTTTTCATTTTATTTTTCTTAGTTTTAAAATATACTACATTTCATTATTAAAAATTATAGTTACATTGATCAATTTATATTATTAATCACACATATTAATTACCTATAACTATCACTATCAGTCTGTTTTTTAATTTTAAAATTATATTTTACTTGACATAACCGAACAAATTTTTATTTTTTCTTTAAAAATAATTTTAAAAACTGTATTAATAATTAAAAAAAAGAGAACATAAACCAAATATGTTCTTATTTTCTCTCACTCACAATCTCTCTTGCTCCCTCGCACTGTCTGCTCTCCCACTCCAGGCCGCTGGAAAAGCCTTCTGGCGTGTGTGAGTTTAGATATTAGGTTTGGCAATTTTAATCACAAACTCATTAGGTTAACTAATTTTAATTTATTTTATTAGTCTAAACCTAAGGTAGGTATTGGTATCCTATGTAGAGTAAAATTTAAGATAAAAAAAGGTCACCAATACAATTAACAACCAAAACAGTGAGACAAAAGGGAGAGCACTCAGAGCTAATGAGTGCATTCAGTAATGGAGAAGAAAGGATATTAGTAAAAGCAAAGTGATTTTTGATTTGATTAGCATTATGTTGTTAGGCCTAGAGGGATCTGAAGTGCCTCTCTCACATGGACTCCATGTTCCTAACCAGAATTGCATCCAAATTCATCAGACAATGGAAGTTAATGCAGATTACCTTGTCGGCTTTTTAATCAATTCTTTTTTGTATTCTAGTCTCACAAAAAAAGAAGGGAAAAAAAAAAAGCGTCCAGATTCAATGTACACATGTGATTCTCATTATTTGTTTGGCTCTTGTTTATTAGGCCAGAGTGGTGAGTGCGTTATTGACGAAACGAAATGGATGATCAGTAGGAGCGGTGAGGACAAGAACTTGAAATTAAATTACTCGTGTGAGTGCAAATGTATAGTCTGCACGTTGATCCACCATTATTGGGGATCAGTGTGCAATATAAAGAATCAACCTTCTTTACTTCACGTCACATATTGCAACAAATTATATACTATCACGATTCTATTTTTATGTATTACTTTTAATATATTTTATTCAAAACAGTAAAATTTTTAAGAGTTATTAAATTTGTTTAAAAATTAATAACTTTTAAATTTTATTCATATTAAATATACATCATAAAAGAAAAACATATATACTTTTTACCTAACTGAGATTACATCTAGGGGAGAGTCTGCCAATATAGATAACAGAATATTAATGACAACCATGTAGATTAATGAAAAGAAGTATAATTATTTAGGTAGAAAAAAGATAAGTTTTGAAATTTCACAAAACAAAATTATAAGATGTAACTCAAGGGATTATGTTAATTAAAATTAAACTTTTTTGAGAGCTTATTTATTCTTCTCTAGTTACGTATACATATCAATTATCAATATAATTTACACATAAGATTAATTCAAGAGTCAATTTATATTTTAAAACTTAATGGATTAATATGATAATTTAAAAAAATA